TAAAAAAAAACATGTTAAAAAAAAATTTTTTTTGTTCCTATTGAATTTTTTTAAAGCTAAACCTAAAAAATATTAAGTTAAAAAAAAATATTTTTTTTTTAATATTAAAAAAAAAGTTTTTTTAATAATATTCTTTTCATATAATTAAAAAAAAAAATATTTCAAAAAATTTATTAGTCTTAAAAATATAAATTCAAATGGAGTGCCCTCTTAGTCGGGCCCGGGTTCCACGAGTAACTCAATGGAACCCGAGCCCTTAAGCCAGTCCACCACGACAAGGTGGGGCACTTCGGACTGGGGGACGCCACAAACATAAATACCGTGGCTCAAGGTATTCCCCCCCCCCCCAACTTTTTTTTGTCCCCCCCCCCTTTCCCCCCTTTTTTTGGTATCCTTTGTTTGCTCCTTTTTGTTGTTGTTGTTGTTGTTGTTTTTTATACCTTGAGCCACGGTTGACACTGAGACACGCCACAGGACGAAACAGACGTGATCTTTTTTCATTGAAATTGTTCCAATCAGTCATCGTGCTACTTAGAACCGCCACGAGGTTATCAGTAGTTCTTACTTGATTCTACTTGTAGTTAAGTGATGAAACGCTTCCACATGGGGCCCCCGGCCAATGTCGTTTTGACTGCCAGAATTTTATTGGAGCACCTGACAGCCAAATGACCACTGGTCACACCAACAGTCCCAGGTGCCGGGTAACGTCGTTTTCTCCCCCCGCGATAGACGAAGATGCCAAGTGGACAAAAGACCGTTACTCGGCACGCGCTTCGTCGAGGAGGCCTAATTCTGCTCCCGGCATGATGGCAGATATCATACGCCGCAGCCCCCGGCTGCCGTTCAACGTCTTTTCATGCACCAACAATAGACGGAGCGATTGATAACACAAAGGACCGTTGAGTCACCACATTCTTCCAGTCCCCGGAGGTATTACTGCCACCGACAAAGGCAAGGATGTGATGGCCGGCAGCCGGGCGCTGTTAAGCGTCACAGGACCTACCAGCATTAGACGAAGCGACTAATAGATCAAGGACCGCTTACTGATGAACTGTCAGCATACCGGTAGTTGTTCGAACCCCCTAGACGAAGTGGGGCTGTTAGTGATTAGCCCGGGGACTCCATGCTTCCGCGGCCATCACTAGCGACAAGTAGGTCAAGTTTCAACTTTGATAACTTCGTGTTGGAATGTATGCACTCTTGCATATTACAAACATTTTCAACGGAAGAAGACAAACCGAGTTCCATAACGCTGCTATATCATATTTAACAGCGGATGTCTTAGAAAACCAATGGCACCCACCTCCACGTGATGACACGCGGTGTGACCCGCACCGCATCACGCCCTCCCCCACGAACGTCTCTTCTCACGCCTCTGTCCGGAACAGGCCTACCAATGCTGGGTTTTCCCCCTAGATCTGGGTTTTTATTTGACGCCTAGGGGATAATCTGTTTTGTTTTTTTTTTTCAAATTTATGGGGAAGTTCAAAGTAGAGCCAATATTTCGTTTTGTAAATATAAATTGTGTACATTTTAACAATCTGGGGTTTTTTTTTGTGTGTCTATGTATTGCTTGGGTTTGTTCAGCTAAGCTGGGTTTAAAAAAAATACTATTGGCAGCCCTGGTCCGGAACCCAGATAGAGTGATCAAGTTCTCATTGAAACAGTTGGCTGTGTTCTGGTGAGTTCGGCGGCGGATCGTCTTCCCTGCCATTCTGTCAACCCATCCAATATTTTCTCTTTCCGTCCACTTTTGTCTCTAACACCCTCAGTTTTTCTGGTAGTCGCGACCGTTTCCAAACTCCCATGTCTTATTGGGCTGCCAACTAATGACAATTTTTGGTCCTGGTTTTATTAAATAAATAAAGAAAACTAGAGAGTGAATATAAAAAAATATATAAAAAACTGGGAGAGCAGAGGATGAACTACATGCGATAGAAAAAGAACGGGCTACCTGGAACGATATGCTAGATAGCATATGCTCCACAGGGGGGTAAAGAGAACTAGGACAGTTGTCTTTTAAGACACGAAAGAAACTACATCAGTGGCTCCCAACGTTCATAATATCACGACCCTTTAATACACGTCCCTCATGATGTGGCGACCCACAAACAATTATTCTCAATAATAACTTCAATAAATATGTGTTTCTAAAGGTCTAAAGGCGAGCGTAGTGAAAGTGTTGTTCGACACCCAAAAAGGGTCGCGATCTGTGTAGGTTGAGAACCGCTGATCTAGAGGGTGAAGTGGAAGAAAAAACTCTTGGAGGGCAGGGGATGAACTGCTTGCGATAGAAAATGATCGGATGACTTACCACGGAGATTATGGTTTAGTCATCTGGTCATAATGAAACAGAATCAGCAAGCAGCTAAAGCGTACTAATTAATGAGAACCGAAGCTAGAAGGTAAGAGGCCGACCAAGAAATAGATGGGAGAAAGAAGTTAAAGATACACTACATAAAACTCAACACGACGTTAACACCAGCAATGCAACTAGCACAAGGGGTGAGACTACACATAATTCTTCTTGTCTAGGTGCTTTACGGCAGGAGCAATAGGACAAAAGAAGAAGAAGAATACGTGAGTTATTCGGTTCTTTCGTAATATCATACCCCAGATGACGTCACAGGACAGTCCAACATTTTAGAGGGTGGCAAGACTGGGTTTCCCGGCTTTCTGATGCTTTTAATGACCCCAAAACATATAGAACTGACCCTAACCCCAACCCACCTACGTCCCACGAGAGAGTGCAGCCTAGGTCCACAGTGCATGTAGCTTATCTACCACCACCTGAAATATTAGACTGTCCCGTGACCTGTGGATTTCCCCTATTTGAGGCAAGCTATTGAGAAAGCACCGATTATTCTTGACAGTCTTTTGTCGTCGCATGGAGGGGTGTTAGTACATTAGTTGATACATGCTTTTGTCTCAGATTGTGGAGCTGCATGATCACCCAGTTGGCAAGGCACTTAATGATGATAATGATATCGAGGAATTGTAAGCACTCTTCAATAAAGTCACGTCTCTGAGGCGTCGGTGACGTTTCTCTTTGCTTACTACCTGGCCAGGATTGATAGTCATGTTTAACAACTGGATGTTTAAAAACTGTACAATGCAGGAGTGCGGGGGAATGAAAGAGCGGATTTTCTGGCTACAAAAGCGAAACCTACGGGAACACTCGTACTGGACAAGGGATATATTCTGAAGACCATATATGATGGTGGGAGTCGCCGTGGCGGAGCGGCTAGACGCTCGCCGCAAATTTGAAGGTTGTGGGTTCGCTCCCTAGCGGAGCCAGACTTTTTTCAAAAATGACCTTGGCTTCCAGGTTGAAAAATGTAAAGGTAAAGTCGGGAGACGTGAACCAGCGTCATTGCACACGGTTATAAACCATAAATGCTCTGCCACCGGTAGGGAGATCTGATAAGAAATTGTCCTCCTGTGTCACCGTCCGCACGTAACTCTGTAGCTACAGCGACATCCTCCACTTACCCTAAAGTGTTAACTTTGGTACCCATTGCCTTAAGACTGGGCGAACCCCGGGAACCGCCTGGTTTCGAACACCGACAGTGAGCTGCAGCGAGTCGCAGCTGGATTTGAAAGCGAGTCTCTATCGACTGCGCTAACGCGGCCCCAGGCCGACCCAGCCTTGAGTGGGTACCGGATGCAGTCCCTGAAAATAAAGGCGGCCGGCTTGATGCTGACCACATGACCGATCTGACTGTGCCGATTGGTCTATAAAAATATAGGTCTAGCCCTATATGCCCTATACGTCCAAAGGCGTGGAAAACGGACCTTTACTTTCACTTAGATATGAAGGTCTGCTGACGGAAGACACGAGATTAGATTAAATTACGTGTTCAAAAATGTGTGAACGAGAAATTAAGTGTGGATCGGACAAGGAGGGACGGATGAGAGGAAAAGAACGACGTGTGTACAGCCAGTGTGCTACGGGAACAGGTAGCATCTGCACCTTACGTCATTAGCTGCGGGAGACGGAGCTTCTATGGGTATGCCCGATGTGCTATTATGTCGATTTTTAAACAGGTAAATCAGTGAAACCCCATCCCCTCCTTTTACCTCTCATTACAGATCCATCTATGCCGACGTGTAAATGATATGCAACTAACTTTAAAACAGAAAAGGGGTTAATTTTCTCCTGTTCCCTATTTATACGCGAGCACTATTTCTGCACAACCCGATTTTGGAACAATCTAGAATGTTGGAAGAGGTGGCAGTGGGGACTACTGATTTTGAATCGTGAAACAGATGAATTACTTCACTAAAATAATACAATAGTTGTGGCGGTGAAATTTTTAGGTCAGCAGCAATGTCAATTTATTCTATTTTGTCTGGCCTCTGGTACACTAAAGACAAACTGCGTATGTTATATTCTTGTCTTTATGTGTCGCTAAGTTCTATTTTCGACTTGAAGGTCTCGAACTATGTAATTCTCTAATTTGCACTGGCAGTGGGGGCAGGGCAGGGAGGGAGGAGCCATACGTAGATTCCATGGAAGTTTCCATCCGACGGTCGACCTTTCTAATTTTAGAAACTGACGTAATTACAAGCCAAAAGTTTGAATTTCCTATTATTAAAGAAATTTTATGAAAACATGCATTCTGCTTTGTGCCACTTACTGTTTACTTTTTAAAATATTGTATTTATTTTAAAAATATCTGAATATATCTAGTTTTGATATTCTGAAAGAAATTAAATTAGAATATAAATTTTGAGCTTAGACTCACTATGTAAATGAGACGGCTGCAGCGGAAGTTGCGTAGATTCTGGAATGTTCGGGAAACATCGGAACTGTTCGGTACGTTTCGTGTTGCTGCTGGACAAGCCGTGGTTGCTATATAAAACTTAACGTCGAGTCTGGTAAACAGTGTGTTTTGCAACGCGAGAAAGACGCATACTAGCGGCGTTTTTGTTGTTGAAAGTGACTTTATTTCAGTTGAAAGTTTTCTGAGTGACTTTATTTCTGTTCTACAACAGCCATGGGTAAGGATTATTACAAAATTCTTGGTATTTCGAAAGGTGCTTCGGAGGATGAAATCAAGAAAGCCTATCGCAAAATGGCCTTGAAGTACCATCCAGACAAGAACAAGTCGCCTGGTGCTGAAGAGAAGTTTAAGGAGATTGCCGAGGCCTATGATGTTTTAAGTGATCCTCAGAAGAAGGAGGTCTTCGACAGATATGGCGAAGAAGGTTTGAAGGGAGGAATGGGAGGAGGTGGTGGTGGTGGCGGCGGCGCCGGCGGAGCTGGAGGCCGACCTGGTAACTTCACCTACTCATTCCATGGCGATCCTCACGAAACCTTCAGAATGTTCTTCGGCAACGAAAATCCTTTCGAAAGTTTCTTCAGCTTTGGTGGTCCACAGGGCGGCAGCAGTGGTGGTGGTGGTGGTGGTGGAGGTATGGGTGGCAGATCACCATTCTTCCAGTTCAACACTACTCGGGGAATGGACGATGAAATGGAAGTCGATGGTCAAGATCCCTTTGGACAGTTTGGTCAGACACAAGGACAGCGACGTAAACAGCAAGATCCTGCAGTTATCAGAGAGCTGCCTTGTTCACTTGAAGAAATCAACACCGGCACGACCAAGAAGCTGAAAATCACCCGCAAAGTTCTCAACCCTGATGGTCGAACAACTCGAAGCGAAGACAAAATTCTGGCCATTGATGTCAAGCCTGGCTGGAAAGCTGGCACAAGAATCACATTCCCCAAAGAAGGTGACCAGACACCTCATAACGTAGCAGCAGATGTTCAGTTCATTATCAAAGACAAGCCCCACCCCACCTTCACAAGAGACGGCAGTGACATTCGGTACAAAGCCCGTATATCGCTCAGGGACGCTCTCTGCGGCACAACTATTTCAATACCCACCTTGAGTGGTCGCAAGATTCCCCTTCAACTGACTGAAGTTATCAAACCTAACACCGTGAAACGAATCCCAGGAGAAGGACTACCATTGCCCAAAAACCCCTCTCAGAAAGGTGACCTCATCGTGGAGTTCAACGTCGTTTTTCCAAACAGTATACCACAGACAGCGAAGGAAATTCTCAAGGACTTAATTCCACAATCATAATGGACAATACTGTGCTTTATTTATCATGGTTGTATTATTTGTACATATATTATTGTTATTGATCAGTATTGGTTTGGACATTGAATCAGTTCTGACTGTGCTGATCTTCTAGTGACTTGCCTGAACAATGGACACCACTCGCTCCATGCTAGTGTAGAGACCAGATAGTCACAGAGGCGATAGTGAGTATTCTCTCTCCGATTCGGCAGGTGAAAATTCACTTTAGATGTAGCAAGTAATAGTGAGAATTCACTCTTAGATGTTGCAGTTTGTAAGAGTTGATGGTCAGTATTCACTCTTAGATGGAACAGCTGATAGAGTTCACTCTTAAGTCTAGCAGCTGACAATCATAATTCACTCTTAATGGATATAGCAGGTGATAGTCAGTATTCACTTTTGGATGTAGTAATTAGGGAGTGTAAATGCCAAGATCCTAACAACATTGCAAGCCTCTTATCTGGGTTAGAGCTAAATCTTGGTTAGAATTAGCTTATAGATGCTTAAATCTTACATTCCAAGTAAATCATCTCGATCAGAGTATAAATGTTAATCTTTTATTGTACTGTTAGTTAACTCTTGCAGCTTTTTCAAAATCCTCCCTTATTCATTTATCTAAAATTCATTCTCATTACATTTTTAGGCTTGCTGTTTTTCTAATTTTCCTCTGGATTCCGTGAGAGGACATTACTTTTTGCAATTATCAAATTTTGCCAGTATCATTTTCTGAGCTCACGTTTCCAGGAATTTGGTTCTCTCAAAGCTCTACATATTATCAGTTCTATCCTCCATCTCCTATTACTTCTGTGCTGGGCAGGCTTGAAAAAATGAATGTAGTATATTGATCATGTTTCTGATCCATCGGATTTGACATTTAAGGTTATATATTTTAACTTTGAAATTGGGTTAATTTTTCTTGAAATTTCAAATTTCCTGGTTCAGCGAAATTCCTCTTGTTTTATTTTTTTTCCTCACCTTTTATAATGTTATTATGTCTGTGACAAGTATTAATTAAGTTGAACGTTTTCAGGATTTTTATTTAATAATTAATAAATTTCTGGAAGTGATTTATTACTACGTTCACTAGTCATGTGGGATAAATGTTACACAAATGTGACATTGTATATGGTTTATGTGCAACAGTCATTTATTTTATTTTTCAACCATATTTCTTGAAATTATTAAGCCTGTGTTGGTTGTTATGTTAATAACCAAAGCTAATTTAAAACATTTGATATTGTTGAAACTTTTTTTTGCTGTTGCAAAGTTGTATCTGATGTTAACATTTAAAGCGCTGGTGTCCATTGTCTTTCACAAGTGTATTTTGTGTGTGTGTGTGCAAGTGTGAAAGAAATGAATGACTTGTCTATATGTGCTTAACTTTTGAGTGTGTATTCTTGTGTATTGTCTTCTAGTCTTGTGTGAATGTCATAAATGAATGCTTGTGTTAGATTTGTTAAATGCCTTTGAATGTAGTTTTTTTGTTGTAGTGTTATCGATTATCATTATCAAATAGGCACATCATTTGTGGAGCCACTGTGGTTGGTGAAATGTCTACCTTACATTGGTAAAAGGTTCACATACTAATGCCATGTGGTAAGCAGGTTTGTTTATCACAATGTAGAATGTGAATGTTCAGCAGAAATAGAAAACAGTTTAATCAGAGAAGGCTAGCATGTTTTACCCTGTAGTAAGCCTAGCAACATTTTCTAAAGAGCAGGTCTGCAACTGAGGCCTCCTGTTTCACCTGGATGTTTTTTTTTTTTTTGGCATTATGTGTAAGGAGCAAAGGGTATTGTGGATTTTGAGTTCATGGGAATTGTTAACAAGGATTTAGAATTAACGGCAGTTGGTACACACCCTTTAAAAATGTATTTAAATAATGCTATTAAACAGAAGGTTGTGTTAATTTGTTTGGGTCATCAATCTGTAATAGTGATAAAAATAGACTACAATACAAATACATATATTACATTTCAGAAAAGGTATAGTGAAGGTGCAGGAGTTTCCAGCTGTTAAAATGTTTTGTCAACCAACCTCTGTGGTGTGAGGGTAATGAGCACATTGTTATTTTAATATACCAGGTTTGAAGTCTGCTGCAGATGATTTGACAGCAGACTGCTTTGTGTGTGTTTCAGTGATGATATGGGCATTGAAATGTTTCAAAAGCCACATCAGACAACAGACATTTAAATTGCCTAGTAACCACAAATAGCCAAAATTATTCAGATTTGTCTGTAGCAATCTTAGAAAGGGTGTGCTGCTATCATTCTCTTGCTCTGCATGATAAGGCTCAATGTGGGATGGCCAATTTGTAACCCTTTAAAAATGGTTTGTTCTCTCCTACCTTCATCCCTTCTTCCCCCCCCCCCCCTTTTCCTGTTAATTGTGGGCCAAATATTTATAAAAGTTCTCTTTAAGTTAAATTGTCTGCATTTTGAGTTTTTATTTAAAAATGTGGTTTCTTATGCACTGGACTGTCTAGTAACAAATGAAGAATTATTTGTATCAGGTATTTTTTCAGAAAATGGACAAATTATAATACCCCCTAACAAAAGGGGACAGTTGTTTAGTAACGAATCTGTACACCTTAAATACCCATGTTATTTTACAAAAAATCTATGTATAATCAGCAAAGAATTGGTGTGTGTGTGGGGGAGGGGGTGGGGGGGGGGGTGTTGTTAGAATACCAATTTCAAAGTCAACTTTTTTTTTTTTAATGCTAGCTGTGATCAGTGACAAGTTTTAATCTTTTATAATCTTTCTCCTTCGTGTTTATCCCATCATGGAGCACAGGTCTCAACCAATTCATGCTAAGGTGTCCTTTTATCCTTTGCTTTTGTATGCAGTTGGTCCCATATCTAGCCCCGCCCACTTCTGCGTCACTCCCTAGTTACCTCCTCTGTGTTTCCTAACTAGATGTTTTCATTCTTTTGTCAAATCAAATTTGGTCTAGATTTGTTGGGGTCTGTTGCAGAAACAATTCTGGTCTAAATTTGTTTAATGTGTCAGCAATCCCAGATCTTGGATACCACAGAGATGGCAGCAGTAAACATTTGGGGTTCAAAATGCAGCAACAGAAGAAGAATGACCCCAGATCTGATCTGGATTAGTTTGTGTTATTAGAGATGTATGATGTTGTCATGACATTGTTTATCCATCATTAGCACCAACTGGCAACAAGTTCCATTGTGATGATGTGTCTAATGTTGAATAAAGTTTATATTATGTGAGATATTGGGAGTTATTTGTTGGGTTGTGTTCTTGTATTTGTGTGTTTTGGTTTATAGGTGTTTGTTTGGATACAGGTGTTGTCCTTTGTATTAATTGTTTTGCATTTGTTGGTGTATATGTTATTGTTTAGATAGTGTACCCATTACGTGTGTCAAATGTTTTGTTCATGAGTGTAATGATGCAAAATCCATATAGATGTTAGTGATGTCCCTGTTTTCATAGCTCTTGTTTGGGGTGTGTGTTGGTTTAAATGTCTGTGCTAGGGCTGTGTCCCTTGTGTACTTTTTTGTTCAGGTGTTTATATATCAGACATTCAATCATATGAATTATTACAGCAAATAAATTAACATTAATGGAGACCAATACCATCAAAAAATGAAGAGAAAGTGTTTAAAAAAATTCTTTAGCTTGTGGGGAGAATTAAAAAAAGAAATTATCTATTTTGACAGAAAACGTGAAGAAGAAATGGACGAACAACAATCTAAGTGTGCCACCTGAGAGAAGAGATTGGACATCGGTTATACACAACCTTCAGTTCAGAGGTGGCATCTGATTGACATAATGAAGAATAACCAAAATCAGATACAGAACCCACTCTACAGGAAACAATAAATATAGATTCTGTAGAGTGAGATCTACATCTGGTATTGCTTACTCTGAAGTTGAATTAATTGGTATCATTTTTGTAAACTAGCAGGGTGAGAATTATCCAAGGGATTTTCCTAAACAAAATTACAAATACTCTGGGTTGTGTTCCCAGTGGTGGCTACAAAAAATGTGTATGGTGGCGGCCTCCTGAACCGATTTTTAGGGTGTCTCAAACCTTGTTTAAAGTGCTTAATAGTAATGTTGTAAATACACATTCAGAACTGAAATATATTTAAAGAACTTAAAAAGAGAATTCACAAACATGGTTCAGGTGTGGAGGCGGCCTTCCTTGATTAGTAAGAGCGGCTAAGCTATCTCCAGTCCCCCGACCTGTGTGTGCAGCTTTTTCCGGTGTGTGGGGAAGGGGGGGGGGGGTTGCAAGGTACCTCCCCCCCCCCCCCCCCCCAAGCGCTGGTACTTTGTCCGTAGTCGATCCTCTCCTTTACAAATAAGAGCTTGATTCAAGTTTTGTGGGACAGTCCTAAGCATTTATCACTTAGCAGTGTGCTCCCATCTTTGTACTTCTTTTTAAAGTGCTTATCAGTACCTGTCAAACTGTTTATCGTCCTATTTCTTTGACTACAACAGTTCCGCCACCTCTTTGTTTCTGCATGCAAGCAAGGCCGTGTCCAAGAAAAACTAAACTCTTTCGGGACCAGAAGGTTTTGCGAGACATTCCCAAGTGAAGATGAAACCAACCCTCTCCCCACACACAAACATACAGGTGCGCGCGTGCACACAGACACACACACACACCCAAGTAAAGATGTAACCAACCACACACGCACACTCGTCGTGGTCTCGTGCGCGAACGCACATACACGCATACAAATAAGAAAGCAAAATTTTGCTGTGTAAGGCATTCAAGTGGTAGATTCATTCAGACGTTGCTTGGGACTTGAAAAGTTAAAGGGACGGGATAAAGTGCTAGGTCTTCACATATTCTAGCCTGCACTCAAACAAACCGAGCTGGCCAGCGCAATCAAAGTTTGAATAGCTAGGCTCTATAATAAATAGCAATCGAGTCTGTTCAACGGAAATCATGTTCAGTGGAACTTGAAAGAAGGATGGATGGCCGTAGCAATGCAAAGATAAAACAGCATTAAAAGTCTGTGGTTAGC